GGGGGGGGGGGGGGGGGGGGGGGGGGGGGGGTCAGGAACGGGACGCTCCACCCAGCTCGTGGGTTGCTATTGTTATTATTCGGCTCTTGGACACGCGGGGAGGGGGGGGGCTTTCCCTCGCCAGCCACCGCGGGGCTGGGGAGGGCGATCCGCATTGCCAACGGGGGTCCCCTGCGAGGGAGTTGGGGGCCAGGGGCACTTGCGCCTTTTGGGGAGGGGGGAGACCCGCTTCCTGATGCGCCTCTTAAGCGGTTATTTGTCGGTTGGTTCCTGGTTTTCGGAGGGGGGTGTGTGTGCGAAAGAGCGACCGTGCTGCTGTCCGCGGACCGGTTGCGGGGCTCCTCTCGCTCGGCGTTGCTGGGCAAAGAGATGGAGCGTGTGTGTGTGTGTGGGGGGGACTTTTGGTTTTATTTTTTTTTTGCCCCGTTGGTGCTTTTCGCCGAAGCGCCCGTCGGTGGCCAATGGGAATAGCGGCGAGGCGGAGAGAGGGGCGTGTGTAGCCGGGGCTGGCTTCCTAGTTATTGGTACTCTGTGGCCCCTCGAGGTGGGGGGGGCGATCGGAGGGACAATAGCTTGGCCGGCTGACAGGTTGCATCGCCGTCCCTCTGCGCGCGTCCACCTCCTCCCCCCCTACCCGAGAAATGGAGGTGTAACCGGCTCTTTTCCTCCCCCACCCGTTTCCCCACTCCTCCCCTCCTCCCCTCCCTTCCTCTTCCTCCTCCTCCGCCATCCTCTCTCCTCTCCTCTCCTCCAGGTTGCAAAATCAAAGCGCTGAGGGCCAAGACCAACACCTACATCAAGACGCCGGTGCGGGGGGAGGAGCCGCTCTTCGTGGTAACGGGCCGGAAGGAGGACGTGGCCATGGCCCGGCGGGAGATCATCTCGGCGGCCGAGCACTTCTCCATGATCCGCGCCTCCCGCAACAAGAGCACCGTCTCCAACGGCTCGGTGCCCAGCCCGCCCAACCTGCCGGGCCAGACCACCATCCAGGTGCGGGTGCCGTACCGGGTGGTGGGCTTGGTGGTGGGGCCCAAAGGCGCCACCATCAAGCGCATCCAGCAGCAGACGCACACCTACATCGTCACGCCCAGCCGGGACAAAGAGCCGGTCTTCGAAGTCACCGGCATGCCGGAGAACGTGGACCGCGCCCGGGAGGAGATCGAAGCGCACATCGCCATGCGGACCGGCGGCCTGATCGAGCTGACCGACGACAACGACTTCCACGCCAACGGCACCGACGTGGGCTTCGAGCTGGGCGGAGGGGGCGCCGGCAGCCTCTGGAGCAAGCCCAGCCCGGGACCCCCGCCGCCGCCGCCGCCCCCGCCGCCGCCCCCCTCCTCCTCCTCCTCTTCCTCCTCCTCCTCTTCCTCCTCTTCCTCCTCCAGCAGCATCACCCCGACGCCGGTCCGCAAGCCCTTCTGCAGCTACCGCAACGACAGCTCCAGCTCGCTGGGCAGCGCCTCCACCGACTCCTACTTCGGAGGCGGAGGCGGCGGCACCCGCTTGGCCGATTACAGCCCTCCCAGCCCGGCCTTCCCGCACAACGGCGGCCCCGCCAGCAACGGCTACGGCGGCGGAGGAGGGGGCGTCTACGGGGGCCCCGCCGAAGGCCTGGCCTCGCCCGATTGCCCTTCCGCCGAGCTGCCGGCCTTCGATTCCCCGCCGGGATTCGATCTGGCCCCGGCTCCGCCGCCGCTGTTGTGGTCGCAGTACGAGCGCAGCCTGGCTTCGCCCAACAACGCCGCCGGCGCCGCCGCCGCCCACCTGGCCCTGCTGGTGAGTGGCGGGCAGAGGCGGGGCGTCCCGCCGGCCCCGCCCCCGACGCGCCTGTCCCCGCC